ACAGAAAGTAAGTCGCTCTATGAGGTAACTCCTCGTTCACCAAGCTTTCCATCTGCTGCAGAGAGCAGTATTGCAAGGGTACAATCTAAGTGCTTAAGCTGTTGACCTCGCAGAAGGTGACATAGAAACAGGAAACCTGCTGAGAGAACGCAAACTCACGGAGATCATCAAAACCTCCGTTTCACTTCTTTTGGACTGTAATCAGAGTTGTTGCTGGTCTTGACCGAGAGGCAGTTATAAAACCTCAATTTGCGTTGGAAAGGGTCAAGCAGAAAAACAGACAGCCCCAAGAACAAGTTTGGTTGCTAACTGGATGTTTTTAAAAAAGGGATGGAGGTTTTAGTAGCCCAATCAAATGAGATCTTAAAAATAAATCAAATCAAGCCTGAGGTAAGGTCAAAAGCCGAGATTAAAACATCGTGAGCAAACCAAAAGTAATTGTTATGACAGGAGGCGAACCATATGTAAGCAGGAATGAAGTAAACCATTAGAAGCCCCGAGAATACCTGACAGTTTCTTCCCCTCCTCTTCCATTCCATCACTACTCTCGAGTTCGGACTGCCTCTTCAAACGTACAATCGATTTGATCAGCTGGTCATCCACTTTCATCTTTTGACCGTATTCAAATGCCTCCAGGAGAATCTTTTAAGCGGAAAGAAGAGTTAATAGTACCAATTCTAACCACCTACCTTCTCAAACGTGGCCTGAACAGCCTCCGCACGACTTCCACTACACCGATGACAAGCTTCAGCTAGCGCATTGAGAAGATAATGCTGACCAGAGTCGAGGGCTCCTCTCAGACCTGTCTCAATCTTGCCAATACCAGGCAACTGAAGAGCTGACATTATTTGTTCTAGGTCGGAAGCTCGTTTCACTGCTCGAATAGCGGCCCGGAGCACTCGACATGCGTTCTCGTGGCTTGCAAGCACAGAGACGACCGACACTCCGTCAGTGGTGTACTCCGACAATGATGGCATGTTCAGAAGATGGTTTTGCAGGAATTTTCGAAATAAAGGACCCGGAAGAAGACTGATTAATGTCTCCATGAAGAACACTGCCACGTGATGGGAATACCCCATCGGAAGGCTAGTAGTAAAACTTCAGTACATAAATTCGATAACGCCGTGCGATATCCCACATAATTGAACAAAAGTTTAATTGGTATCACCGATAGCTCTTTGAAATTTGCATTCATACACAAGATAAAGACCTTCAAGAGACTGCGGTTCACTGTGAGCGATCATGAATGAACGCTCGTTTATGATCTACAGCCTTCAGTTTTCATCAATTCGTTGAAAATA